AATCTTTATTAACAGCCAGACAAGATATTAAAAGACAAAAACTACAAAACAGTTGATAGCATCACTTTTCTCAACTAGCTTTTTGTGATCTAAACATGTAATGATAGAAACTACTTTTACTGTCTGAGTGTCTTTTTGGAAAAGTCATAATGTCTGACTGGAGAGCCAGGTGTGGTAGTATGGTACTGTTCTCCACTTCAGTTGGCACAGCTAGACCTATGAGAAAGATTAACAGAGAAAATAAGTAATTTTAGTAAGTTGACATGTTAATACACTGGGTGTTCCTAGAGGTGAATAATTGTTTAGTTATTGTTGATGTAGGCCTAAACTTACCAGCACTGTAAGCTTCTTGGATGAATCCAATGATGGAGGTAGAGGTGGAGGCTGATGGACCTGTTATGAAATAATAAAACAATATAAATAAATTGACTGAACTGAAATGACTGACTTGTGTTATTAGATGTCTCCTTTTAAAAAGTGACTTTAGATAAGATGTCTTTTCAACACTGGCAGCTTTGGAGGAGGCTCCATGATGTTTCTCAATCAGTCCTTCAAAACAGCTACAAGACACTCCCTACCTGACAGATTTGATATATAATGAAAGAACAGGGCATCTCTATAGGTTCAACTAAAACACATAACCTACCAGCACAGTCTGCTTCTTGGGTGATATGACCCGCCCGCTGCCCCCCTTCACCCACACCCTCCCTACAGAAGGTTAGATACCAGTGCACAGTTAAAACATTATGTATGAAAGATACTTTTGTTACAAATTAAGAACTTAGTACTTGCTACCTTGCTTGTCAGTACCCGCCCTACTCTGCTTTTAATTAGCTATTAGTCCTTACCTATGTACTGCAAATGTGCAACTCCCAACAACAACAAGGCTGAACAGAAGTGAGATGCCTCACTCCATAGCTAAAATAAAGCGTTCAACACACAGATGAAAAAGAGGTGTGCAGTATGACAAAAATTCTAGTACAACGCCTAAATAAAATTATGCACCTGAAAATGAGTGATTAATCAAGAGTGCATTTGTTGTGCAGGGCATTTGCTCAGCAGTATGTGGGACACTAGCGTGACTTCTGTGAATTGTTTTTTAAAGAATTGCATGAATTATGATGACTCTCTTCATGTCCCCTGGTAACAGCAAAATAAAAAAGTCAGTCCAAATTAGAAGCTGGATGCTTAACAGGTGTTTTGTTCCCAAATATCTCTATGATTAAGAGTACAGCTAATACCACTGTGAAAACACAGACCTCAGACTATAACTTGGATTTGGTTGGTCGTGAGCGGCAGCCCAGGGAGACCAAATTCGTGGCCAAGCGTCACCAATGAGTGGGCTGGACAGCAGTTTGCACAGCCAAGCCCAGAGAGAAAATAATAATCTGTTGAGAGGCTTTGGGATAGGCCATCACCATGGTAACAAATTCAGAGATGAGACAGAGATGGGATGTAATCACAGAATGTCCTGACTTAATTTTTTTGAATGCCATCCGATGTTGGTAAAACATGCACACAAGCAGATTTTTTTAAATCGTTTGCCACAGAGCTGATGCAAACCACGGGTGACAGTTGTCAATTAGACCGCAGAGTGTGTCCAGGAACAAGTGCGGGAGGTATAAAACACACACCTTTGGCTGGTGTCTCCGCTGTCAGGAGTCCAACGTCTCCTCAGGTGTGAAATGACTGCAGTCTGTCTGACACTGTCTGGTGGCGAACGTAATCACCTCAGTATACAGAGAAACACAGCCGGTGTCCAATCTGATAATCTGCTAGGCTGTGATGTCTGCTGTCGCTGGGTGTTGACTTGGTCATGTACAGAGGTGGGTATTAGAGGATGAGGTGTGTGATGGGAAGAAGAGTGGAATAAGCGGGTGGATGGTCACATTTTTCTGACAGTTACTTGCTGTTCCCAGGCCTCCTGTTTGCACAAACGGGAGACAAAAATACAAACATATCAGGAGACACAGGTTCATTATTGCAGACACACACTGTAATGTAGGTTGTTTATTCATGACACACAGACAGTGCCACGTGGAAAGTGAATAAATGAACAGCCATAGAAACCAGAAGCAGATGGGCTCAACAGGTGAACACAGCTAGGAACAGAGAGAACAACATTTATTGCAGTTGGTTTGTACATTTTATTCTGTGTGGGGGCCATCCAGTGAAGAAGATTCACTGGGGTTAGTTTGTTTATTCATTATCATTTTTAACCAGAAAGTAGCAATTAGATATCATCCGCTGTTTTTACTTTTTAGTTTGATAAACTAGCCACTTGAGATCCATGTGGCACACCAGAAAATCCCATAGCAGGGGCTGTAAAACAGCACTCACATAATTTGTGTTATTTAAGTACCATACTGCACCAAAAACTGTTTTTAATTGGTTTAAAAATACTAAGTGATACAAACATGCAGCACATATTTGTTATTAAGTTTTTGAGTAAAGCCAGAAACATTTTCTTCTAGCGGCTTTGGCCTTGTGTTTGGTTTAGGTAGCCAGCTTTGCTTGGCCAGGGTGTTTGTCACCTAATTTCACCCTCGCGAATAAAGAACTGAAAAACAAATAGAGCGTGATCAGACTTGTTGAAAATAGTGTACTCAATTAATGAGACACTAGACCAGACTACAGCACTTTTCATAAATCTTGCACAGTTAATGGTCCACTAGAACAAGACTTCAAAACTGCTGTTAAACTGTTGAAAAAGACTCTGTAAAGAAGCTTCCAGGTCAAGCATCATCTTGCTTTAGATCTGTTGAATGTGGTTTTAATAGTGTACAAAGGTATGGCATGATGGTTGTTATAGTTCTTAATTGCTTTTTTGGCAACTTGGGCACAAAAAAACTCCACGATCAGCTGACAAACCAACAATCCTGCTTTTTAAAGTCATTCTAAGTTGTTATGGCTAAGGTGTTTGGTCAACGTTTGCCCTTTTACACATCCAGACCCACATTAACTTCCATTATGAGTTATGTTTCTGACCACCTTACACATATAAGTCAAATATTTACTCTCCCTTTAGTTCTGGTTTGGTCATTATTTTTGAAAAAAATAACATCTGTCTCTTAAGCTGATAGATGTTCCAACTTCTTCACCAGCTTGCTAGTTGTAAATTATTCCTGTGGAAAAGAAATTGGAACTTTACTATAAAAGCTTAATTGGACAAACAAAAACATTATCAGAGACAATGACTCTCTAACCTTGTGTTATTACATTCATATCAAAATGAATTTCTTTGACACCAAGCCATGCTTGTGGCATATTCGGGTTTAGACTTAATTTGTCCTATGAGGCAATATATTTGCAACTTAGATGAGATGATGCAATGGAGGAGATTTTGGCCAGAATCAATTCATGTGATGGAAGTGCGGAATGATGTGAGGAAAAAAGATATATCAGAAACATCCACAGCTACACTGTAAATAATGTAAAAAGGCTGCAGATCTTCTCAGGTAATAACTCCTGTTCAGTACTGCACAATGCAGAGAGACAGAGTTAGTGAAAGAGATAGAAAGAGTGTGACAAAGACGAGTGAGAGACAGGGTAGTACTCACAATGCTGCTTCTATTGAGCCTTCTCAAATACCAGGTCAGATGTAATTGCTAACCGCCGTCTGCATTCATCTGTATCTCTTTCTCTGGTCTGCCCTTTAAATTGCAACCAGCTCTCAGATTAAAGTGAGATCACACAGCTTTGCCGTTCTCTGGCTTTAACGTCTACCTTGCTCTTTTTGTAATGGCGAGGCAAACACTTTTACTTACACATATAATCCTTTTTTGTTTTTCTTCTCCCCATATTGCCTTCCCTTTTTCAGTTATTGATTCAGTTTTAGATTTTTTCTACCGCTCTGTCCCTCTCTTCCTCTCCTTCTCTTTCATTTACAAAATTTTTAAACAGAAAAGAACTCACAACTCTCACTGGAACTCATTTAATGTTGTTAAGTCTTATGCTGCTTTTGGCCTTCCTCTGTCTGTCTCTCACTGACACACCATGTCGACTGCAAAGAAGTAACATTGACCACTGGTCTGCAAGTATATTTTGCACCAGTGTGAGAGGGAATACATGTATCTGTACTTTCTTCTTCGCAGAGAGACAAACTAAGGTACCGTTTTTCCGACGCTGTGAATTTGACAGTTTATGCTTGGACAACACTGTAAATTTTGGTTTTGCACTCAGCCCACAGTATGTTTGACAGTCTGAATTTCTTAGTCTGTTTATGGAAGAAGAAAAAGGGTAAAAGCAAAAAATCTGGTAGATGCCACATCAAGTGGGTGAAATCACTGATTCGATAGGCTGAGCAGTCAATAAGAGAGCTCTCACAGCCTGCCTTCCTTTCCAGTTTAACATCATCAATGTGACGGCAAGAAATACGTGTGGAATGCAGCCAACAATAGTGGACACGCACCGGAACTATAGGGAAGGGTTAGCCACAGCCACACAACTGCAGACAAACTCCGTCAGTCAGCTGTGTGTCAGGGTTAATGTGTCCCATCACTACCTCTCTCTGTCCACGTGCCTCTGGTGTCGTTTTCTTTCAATTTTACCATCACAAATATAATCATCTGTCTGTGTGTCTGCTTCCCACTCTCTCTCCTTCTCTCCATCCTTTCATCCACTCAGCTTTGTGTCTGTGGTTGTTATATGTTCTTATTCGGTGTGTGTTGGAAATAGCCATGAAGGACAAGTGTTTTTGCTCTGTCTATGAAAGCACGCCACAAAGTCTCACACACACACACATCTCTTTAAAGCATGTCTTACTTCATACCTTTATGTTATGTGAAAGTAGATGAGTTTTAATACAATTTAGTGCAATATTAAGTTACATTATAAATCTTTATTCTGATGGACTTCCCTTAATGTAAAGTTATATAATTGTTTTATCCTTTCTTTTTTTCTTGTTTTAAAGGGAATATACAAATCTTTAATTTTGTACTCACCACTGTACTTCTCCCTTCACACTTCCAGCGCTACGGGTATCAGTCTGCCTAGGCCCTATTACATGGCTGACGAGGATGACGAGCGACCCTTCATCTGCTCCCTGCCAGTCGACAACGGTATCATGTCATGTTCTGACGTCCCAGCTCGCCGCCAGGGAGGCAGGGCGTGCTGCCTGGATAAAGACGACGCCCTGTACCGCCAGTCACTGGGCCTGAGCCCTGAGCCTGTGGCCAATGGCAGTGTCAGTGTAGCAGGGCTCTGTGTCAACTGGAACCAGTACTACACCAGGTGTCATACAGGGCACACCAACCCCCACAAAGGAGCCATAAACTTTGACAACATTGCCTATGCCTGGATTGTCATCTTCCAGGTGGGGATTTTGGTAAACTTGGTATTGTAAAAGCAGACCACCAATCAGACTGCTTTGTTTTTGGTCCATAACCACCTTTTAAATAATATTGTGTTGTTTTATTTGTCGATGTTCTTTTTTACATTCCGACAACAATCAATAAATCAAATGCTCTGACACAAAAATGAAAAGAAATTCTTATCTGAGGCTGTTGCGGAACTTTAATAAGGACAGCTAATCATTTTAGTCAGACCCAGTGAATTTATTGACCACCCGTATTGGCTGGCCTGCCTGCGCTCTAGCTTCTGCCTGTGCACATGTAAATGTGTGTTTGGGGGAGTGGCTTTGGGTGGAAGCCTGAAGGATTTTTTGTTTTTTTTGGATACTTTCAAAATCGAGCTAGTTCTTGATTACTCATTCTCTCATTTGTTTAATCCACTCCTGTAAAAACAACAAGTTGCCATTTTATGGGGGAATGTGTCAGACGATTTCTTGGCCGTGAGCAGTTGCCAGCCGACCATGAAGACTCCAGTAAGTCACTGTTCCCAGCCAAGAAATATTTCAGTAAACAATTCCCCATAAAATGGCAAATAATCATTTTGTAAGCAAATTCAATGTGGCATAGTTATGCAACAGCTTTAGAGGTGGATTTTGTTACGTTCAGACAGACTTTATGCTTAGTCAAGATTCCTGGCTGCTGGCTTAAGTTTATTGAACAGACATGAGAGTGGTATCAAAGTTCTTGTATAACTTTCTTGCCAGAACACAAATATGCATTTCCGAAAATGTCAAATTGTTCCTTTTAACAGAAGTATTTCAACCCTAAGAGCAAACGTCCTGTGGATACAGTTATTGTGTATTTACTTACACCTTTCCTCTTGTCTGTAGGTGATCACTCTGGAGGGCTGGGTGGAGATCATGTACTATGTGATGGATGCTCATTCCTTCTACAACTTCATCTACTTCATTCTACTGATCATTGTAAGTCACACTCATACATATACAGTATAGGTAGTGTGCATAGGGCTGCGTTATATGTTTAAAGTAACGATTATCATCCTTGTAGCAAGGATTTTTTCAGATATCTATATTCATCAAAATATTGTTTATTATAGTGGATAGCACTGTGGCCTCACAGTATGAAGGTCTCGGGTTCGGTGCACCGGTTTCCCCCACCATCAAATAAAGAGTCTCCAGTCAGTGCGTTAAACGGCAGCACTGGCTTAGATCTCCAGTTGATCCACAGGCACTGTACAGTGGCTGCCCACTGCTCCCAGTACTTGGGATGAGTTAAATGCAGAGAATGAATGTGACAAAAGTACCTTACTTTACCTTATGCAGGTTCTATATTATACTGATGCAGTCTATGCTTTGATTGCTATACAATACGAGTACACTAGAAGAATTACTTACAATACTGTACAATTCTTTATTTTTGGGGATCTTAAAGTGCTTGTGAGGCTGTGGCAAGCAGATCCAGAAGGCAGAACTGGCAGTTTCTCTTCTGGGATTAACATTAGGAAGTTTGCTATTTTCTTGGCTATTTCCCCGTAGTCTCTCTCTCTCCCTCACCTGCATACCCATGCGCACACACACACACACACACACACACACACACACACACACACACACAAGGCTGTCAGTGTTATCGTGAAAGCTGAGCTGAAATCCTTGAAGAACCCCCCTTTTATTCTGATAAAACACTTTTTAATTCCAATCCTTTAGCTCAGCTGTGTCTGTATGTGTGCTGCAATGGGCGTGTGAAGTGTTATCATAATGCAGTGTGACTGCCAGTCCCGGTTACTTCCCTAACCCAGGGGCTGTCTTGTCTTTTTTTATTACACTTTTAATTGCATGCCTTCAGATTCAGACACAAGCTCTGTCTTCCTCCTTCTCTCCTCTTGTAACACTCCCTTCTTTTCTTACCCTTCATTTCCTTAGTTTCTTTCTTCCACTACTCTCTCTACATCTGTCTATCTCCTTAAATTGGTCATTCTCTGCTCCTTGCCATTCAATTACCTTTTCCTGCCATATATCAATCCTTGACACTTCCTTCCATCCCTCCCACCTTCATTCCTATCTGTCCCACCCTCTGTGTCTCCCTCTTTTCCTCAACCCCTTTCTTCTCTTCTTTTCTTGTATCTCTACCACTTCCTGGCTCTCTTCAACCATTTCCCTCCTGCCTTCATTTCCTCTCCCCTCTCTCGCTGAGCTGTATACTGAGCATCAGTATACAGCTCAGGCTAACTCCATTCATGTATCTGTCACTCTACTCATTATTCTCAATCACAAAGAAACACTCGCATACACTTGCAAACACATATTCATTTATCAGTACCTACTGCAATGTGCCAAACGAGCATAGAAGCCCAGTATCCGTGACGTTCTTACCCATCACTAGGCCCTCCAGTAGGTATCAGACTGTGAAATCACAAATTAAACTGGGTTCCACGACAGTCAACGTCATTCACTAACTTACCTTTAAGCTGCCTTTAACTCCTAGTCTTACCAAAGCAAAGAGCAGTTACTCTGCACCTTGACCCGGCCTTATATCTACATTGTATCTGCTTATGTTAATCTCCTGTGGCTGGCGCCACTTGCTTGGCAGACATTATCTTCTTAAAGGGTAACTTTGGTATTTTGCAACCTTTTAAAAATCGGTCATGTATTGAGTGAGAGCGCAGTGCTGCAGTTGGCAGCAGTGAAACAGGTCTGCAACATAATCCTTGCGGGCAATTGCGTCCGGTCAAAGTTCATCCACTAAGATGCTTGTTTTTGCCACTGACAGGCGCAAATTGTTATTGTAAGTCTGACAACATAGTAGGCAGAATCGCTATAGAGATAAGGTAATTTTTGTTTAACCAGAAACATTTGTGAATTTGGTGTTTTAAAGAGTTAAAAACACCAAAGTCAGACAAATAAACAAAAACATCAAAATAACACAAACAGACTAACTAACAGGCAATTGTTGACCAGCAACTCCTGTGTTTTGCGAAGTACAATAACAGTGTTTATCAATGGAGTCTGGTCGTTTTGACATAGCGATATAGTGAATGTTCGTGGTTAATCAGAGGAAAGGAAAAGGAAAAAAAAAAGTCTATCTGCACAGAGCCTTTCCACGATGTTGTCAGACACTAACAACCTGAGCCTGTCAGTGGCAAAACAAAAGCACTATAGTGAATAGTCGGCTACACTTTCATGGGACATAAATGCCCGTAAGGATTGCGTTGCAACCCTGTTTCACTGCTGCCAGCTGCAGGGTGCTCGCTCAATACTGGAGCGTTTTTAAAACATGTTGCCCCAATTAGTCACATAGACACAAAAACGTGGGAGAATAAGGTCCAGGTTGAAAAATACCCAAGGTACCCTTCAATGCCATGGCACGCCCAGTAGTCCAGTCAACATCCTAAACTACTTTATTGATACACACAAATGAAAAAGGACGCATTCCTGCACTCTTCTCCAGATTTGCCATGAGACATGAGAGAGGAAGCGACCACATGTTGGTCTCCCTCTTTGATCTTAAATGAGATGTTATTAATTAGAGTGAATCCCTCTCCATGTCTTCTTGGCTCACATGGATGGACCAGACATGCTGATCACAGCATCAGGTTTAACAGTATGTCATACAATCTGACCCCCAAACTTTAGAATGAAAATGCTTTAGTATTAAGGCAAGGCAAGGCATGTTTATATATACACTATACAGCACATTTTAGAAATAAAGGCAGTTCTTTACTTGGTGCAAAACAATATTAAGTAGAAAACACAGCATAAAATTAAAACAAAGAGGAACATGAAAGTATTTTATCTGGACTTAATGATAATCAAAGTGAACTGGGAATAATTAGCAGACTGCTTCCAGATCACATAACAGGTCATCTTAAGTAGCTATAAATAAAGAACAAGAATGTACACACTTCACTTTATTCTTATTAAACAACTAATTGCTAGAAATATTGGCCAGCTGTCACTGTCTTGGTAAATGTACATAAACTATAAAAAATCACAGCAAGTAACATTAGCACTAACATATTATAACAATATAATAATTTTATATCTTGAACAATTAAAATGAGAACATCCAGTGCAACATTCAGTGTCCCATGAAACACATATTTACATATCTTCAAAGCCCAATCTTTTGAAATGAATAGTTAAGTCACTGAGAAACCTGCATTTACTTTTGAGTGGGGCTTTTTAATGGCTAAAAAAATGTCGTTAGTTTTAGTCATGGAGCTTACATTTCTTGAAGGTTAACAAAATCATATGTCATATTATATTACTCCAGCCTCTGAACCCTATTGTCTGATGAGGACTTAAAACTTAAAGCTAATCTCTAGCATAAAAAGAAAAATCATTGTCAGACGAAAGCTCATGGGTTCCGAAATTGCATTTTGCCCAATTTTAGATTCATAAGGAGATATCAGTTTATAGAGATTACTCTAACTCTTAATACTCTGTCTATTTCCACATGATGTTGGCCCAGCATGTTGCACAACACAAGTCTAGATGGTGGCAGATCGTCGTCGAAGCCTTATGTCCCACCAGGGACAAAGGGGATTAAGTTAAGTAACTGACAATAAGCCACAATAGCAGCTCAGTGAGGCTGTAATGTAAAATTGTTAAATCGATGTAAAACAAGGAGGCAACATTTTTCTTTTATTCTTTGATGTTTACCAGTAGTATTGGGCCAAGAAAACATAAGGTTTGGCCCAAGGGTAGTGCTAGTGAAGAGACCAGATTTGTATGGTGGCCATTATAGGACATCTTAGGCAATGTAAAGTTGAGCTGGTAGCTCGTCAGGCCGGGCTGTACATTGTACAAGACTTGGCTCAGCTTTCATCAGTCTAAACTGTACATTGTCAACAATATTGTACTTTGACCTAAATACTTAAACATTTTAACATTTATGTCAATTGGATGTTATTAGGCTGACATTTAGAGTGTGAAATTGACCTGTTAGCAAGTGAAAACTGTAACCTGGTGGATCATGGTGCTAGATGAAATGTCAGGGCATCACCGCAGAGTTACAGCAGAAACAACTTGCTCCCGTGATAGAGTTTGCTAGCCTGTCCCTACCACTGGTTTTTTAGACGTGCAGTTTCAAGTTTCTAGTCTCAGAGACATTAACCACATGTGCATTTGTGTAGTATAGGTAACTTTTAGCCTCAGAGATAATTAACCACATGTGCGAATGTATAGTATGTGTGGCCTATTTAAAATATTTCACCAAATAAACAATCAAGTTGAATCCTCCAGATGAGGATCAGAATGATTTTAATTGCTAGAAATTAAATAAAAATGTTCCCTCATGTCTCTTCTCTGAGTATCTAGTAAAGCAGAAATGCCTGAAACATTATCTAAATGAGGAAAGCAAATCTCCACTGTTTAATGTATCTCAAGATGAATCTGTTCTAATTTATCTTACGTAAGTGTTGTAAACTAAGCATAGTGGGATTTTGCTCTCTGTAGTTGTTGCAAATATGTCCTTTTTCCCCCCACAGAGACAGCATTTGACAGTCAGGCTCTTGTCGGCTTTGTTGCAGCATGTTTCAAGGCTTGTCTCACAAACAGACTTAGTGGAGGAAAGTGATTTAAGCGTTACTATTCACATGTTAAAGCTTCTGTTCATATCCCAGCTTGTTCTCATCTCACTAGCAGACAGATGAGGAGACTTTTAATTATGTTTCCTTTAAGACTTCACGACACTGAGCATGGGGAGATGGAGGAGAGCGTGAGAGTGAAACTGCAACCGAGACTGACAGAAAGAGAGGAAGGATGGGGGGTGGGGGGGGTGGGGGAGAGAGAGAGAGAGAGAGAGAGCGAGGTTCAGGTTGTATTTAGATGCTTTGACAATTTCCCTCACGTAACATTCATGCAGATTAAGTGTGTTAAATCAAATTGAATTGAGGGAGAGGTAGAGTGCGGTGTTGAGATGAGAGTGACAGATGGAGAGACAGATGAAAGAAGTGAGATAC